TTTTTTTTTTTTTATGGCAAACTTATTGCAATTAGGAGCCCAACTTTTAGGCTTGGCTATCATACTCTTAATTGCATTTTTGTGATGATTATCCTATGAGGGTATTGCATGTTCTGTGTTAGCAAGAGGATTTAGCATTTGTACAGTGTAAGATCACTTATCCTTTTCTTTATTATATTTATGAAGAGCCCCTTTTAAGTAATAATAAAAAAAATTCACAAAAAATGTGTCCATGGTAATCACACGTTTCTTATGGGTTGTGAGCTAACTACTGCCCTTTCGTTGCTACCATCAGAAAACCTGTTTGTGGAATATAATTTCATGATGCAGCTTTTTACCTTGAGCAGTTTTTGTTGCCTTTAGACCTTGAGAATTGCAGTTCTACCAAATTTGTTGTTTCAATGCAATAATATTGAGTTGTGGTGTAAATTCACGTTTGGTTTAAAATAATATTGAAACATAGTTTGAAGTTACATGCAGATTTCTCAAACTCATTAACAATTCATCAAGTTTCAACAAAGGAAATCATGACCGTGATGGTGTTTGGATATCTGATCTTAATTAGTATAGATTTTTACGAATTTATTTCTCCGTTTTCTCCTTAGTTTTAGTTTCGATTCAGAAGATACATCAAACACTCAAGACCGTGTTTGACCACATTTCCAAACACCTCAAAGTTCGTCAAAAATACTTCGCTGCGCGTCATATTTTCCACTCTCTTCTCGGTGTTTGGAAATGTGGTCAAACACGGTCTTTTGTGTCTGATATATTACATAACAGTGAGCACAAGACAAAGGAAAATAAATAAAACTGGTCTCAAACTGGGGAGGTACATTGGTAGGAAATACAAAACAGTAACTTCATTTTACCAAACAAAACCACTTAAGCTTCTGCAGGAAAAAAATCATGAAATTTGAAAGAAAACAATTGAGCTGTCAGGTGGAAAACACAACTTTAGGGTACCGAGCACACTTCCTCCGATTCAAATCACTGTTATCTTCATCTTGTAAATCTGTCAAAAGGTTATTAGTGCAGTCATCAAATTTTCCATTTGTATGCTCCTTGCAGTGAAGCTGTAGCAAAACTGCAAAACTAGATTTCCTTGTGAGCAGGTTTTTCCTGGAAATTTTGAAACTTAATACATGCAAAATACAGCTCCTGAATTATCAGGAAATAAAGTACATGTGAAAATTAGTAAGAATTAAGAATAAGGTACTGATTGTACATGTAATCTTTTAAGATTCAACCTTGTAACAGAGAACTTCAGTCAAACACTGGCCTTCCCTCCAGACAGCTACAAAAAAGGCAATGTGACATACCATTTTAAGAAACATGGCCGGATGATACAGGTCAGTGTCACAGGAAATTTCAGAATACCGCAATACATATTATATACACGTGTTGCCCGTAATAAAATCTCATTAACTACCGCCATTAATTAATGTCCTGGACAATAATTTATTTTATTATATGACTTAGCTCCATGAGCAGGCAAAGTTAACCAAATCCTGTGCCGTGATTGGCTACCCGAGCAGACAAGATGGCGATATGTTGCCCGCTTGGGACTACCCACTGTGTCCCACCAGAAAAATTCCCCCGAAAGCCATATTACAAATCCTTTATTGACCAAGCTTGTACGGTCAAGATGGCTGGATATCGGCTTTGTTCTTTTTGAATGCGGGTTTATGGACTGAGACTCTGTCCCATATTTTTATATGTCTAAAACATAGTTGTAGTCATGGTGTTCATGTATGCCTCGTCATGATATCAACTCCTACATTGCATCGTCTCCTATCCCCCCAGGAGAATGAATTTTGTTCTCCTGGGGGAATAGGCCAGGAATCAAATTACACAAAGCTATACAAAGAGAATAAATCGTTACACAGTCACCCTCCTCTCTGTAAAAAGGTATTATTCCAGGTACTTAAAATGAGGACAATACCTTGTCAGATTCACACAAAGGCCGACAATATGTCATTTGCATTTAAGTATTTACCTTTCGCTACTTACAACGCAGAAAAACATGATTGTTATGAGAGTTGTGGAAAAATTGATAGCCCGTGTGAAGGATTTGTTGGCATAACTTGTGTTCAGTATCCTTGGTGTTTACATTGTATTCCTGTACACAGGTTGCACAGCTTCCAGCAGAGAAGTCAGATATCTTCATTCAGTATTTACAAGATAACATCCCTCCAGGTGTATCACTACACATGGAGCTGGTAAGGAAAGATTTCCAACTCGTTTGAATTTCTTTTACACTTAAAGTAAAGAAAAGTAAAGTAAAGTAAAACTTTGTTTAGCCGGGTGGCCCATTCAGCGTTGCGGCTGGCAACCAGAGGGGCCCTGGTAATAAATATTACAATCATAAACATTGCAAATATACATAGGTAAAAAATCGAATTTACAGTCCACTCCCGATAACTCGATTCTCGCGTTAACTCGAAGCAATTTTTGTTTCCCTTCAGGTCATTTTCTATATAATTTTACCCTCTGTAACTCGAACCATGAGCATGAGAGCTTTGTACCAGTAGCCAGTACCAGCAGCCCTCCATTGTTCTCTCTAAAAAACCTGCACCGTTCACAGTTCCTGGGCTTCTCCCTGTTGCTTTCCTTTGTTATATTTTTCACATTACGCTACGTTCCGATTTATACAGTAATTTAGAGATGTATGGTTTTATTTTCACTGGACTTCTCTATTCTGTAATTAAATTTGATTAAAATGTACACTGCATGAATGGAAAAACATTTTAAAAACACCGTTGTATTCCTTTTTCCGGTCATTTGTTCTCAACTCCCTATAAGTCGAACCTTTTTCAATTTCCCTTGAAGGTTCGAGTTATCAGGAGTCGACTGTATATTTAATAAGAAGCTAGGGAAATACAGGTATATGCTAAAAATGCTAAAATTTTGAATTTTTGTTGGCAGAGAATTAAAAAGCACTGACCTTCAGGGCACTATATGATAATTGTTATGTCGTTTATATTAGTATCAACTGGCAAACCTCGCAAATAATTGAAATCGGATTGAATCATCTTTTCTATTTTTTTCGTATTGTTTTATTCTGATTGACACCTAGTACATGAACACAAGATAAGAATGTGTGGGAGAACAAGGTGTTTATAACAAATACACACTTACCTTTTAGACATCTCAAAAACATGACCCTCATTGTTTTTGGAGGAAGTGTCAAGTTGTAAGGTTCTGGTCTACTAAAAAGTCACAGTTTCAAGCTCTCTATCCAGGGGCCCGTTTCTCGAAAGCCCGGAAACTCCTCAGGCCCGGAAAGCCATTTTCCGTTCATCTGTATCTAAAACAGAAAGGTGTGTACGCCTGAAACTTCTTGTATGCAAGAAGACAACTTCTGATCATATTAAGAATACGTGAATAAAACAGCTCTGTAATCATAAGGTTTGAGATTTTGCTATGGCTTCCCGGGTGCGAAAACTTTCGGGACCTTCGAGAAACGGGCCCCAGGGCTCCATTCTGCCACTAGTTGTTCAGCCAGTCGACTATAACAGGAGGTCATGGGTTTGAGCTTGGGCAAATAAAAGTTTGTTTGCTAAAGTTTGCTAACTTGAGAATTCTGGTCTGAGCACAAATGCTCGTAAATCCTTGTTGAAAAATGTCTAGTGGTCGCAGCGACTTAACAGATACTGGCAACCTGCACTTGAAAATTTAAAGACCGACAAAACAAGATCGTAGAAAAGTGAAACGGGAGTAAATTCTGAACAGGAATCAAGGAGTTATTACATGTATCTTTGCGCATTTTGGCGTTGTTTTACAGGTCAGAGTAGCAATAGTAGTTATGTTAGTACTATACCTAAGAATTTCATGGTTGCAAATAGCGTCTGGCTTTTTATCAACAGAAAAAGTGGCAAGATTTTGTTGCACCTCCTGATCCAAGACTTCTAGAACAAGAAAGGCTAGAAAGAGAAAAGATTGAAGCGTGGAAGAGAAAGAACCAGGAAGACAAATGAAGTAGCATACACAAAGGATTATGAAAGAACCCTAAAGAGAACTTGCCATGCAATATCCTCTGATTCTAACCCGAGCTCTTAGGCTTATGTAACAAATAACCCAGACTACATCTTAACTGAGGTGATTCTGAAATAATGNATCAGCCCATAGTGCCTGTCCGAGGAAAATACCCGGATGGATAGTGCTCGTCCGTGAAAAGTTTTCTGTCAACAAGCGAGCTTATAAAATAATAAACAAGTGAAATTGTATTAAGTGGGTTTTGTTTATTTTCCTTTTTAAATTTTACATTTGGCTTTCACGGTTTTCTTCTAAAAAAGTTGAAAATAATTCAATGATTTTTGAACTGGCGTGCGGAAGAAAATTTAGTGGTGAACAATGAAGACATAGTGTTTATGTCTCGGAACTATCGGTCTGATAGTTGCCCCTTGGAAATTTGATGTTCTTAAAACTAGCATATTTGCCCTCAAAGCTTCACTTCTCGGGTAAATATTTGTTTTAAGAACATCAAATTTCCGCGGGGCAACTATCAGCCGATAGTTCCTCGACAGAAACACTCTATTGTTTAAATAGAAAGGGAGTAGCGTAGCCAATCAAAGAGCAGTTTTCGTGATAGAACGCTAGCAGATTTATACTAATGGTTTATGTTGATCGAGCAAAACATTGGAATCCAAGCATACCTCAATCACAGTTGAATCGGACAGCAACTCAAAACCATTACCCAGACAATATTCAATTCTTTTATGAACTTCATATTAGCATTTTATTTCCTCACAAGCATCTTTTTGTTCTTAATGTAACTTTTTCTGCTTCACACTTTTTACCGAATATATTTTAACGATCCCGCTTTTTCACTATTTGTCAAAGATTGAAGATTGGCAATCGAAAGCTCCAGTCATTTTAAACTATTTTAACCAGTGAACGTTTTTTGAACTTTGAAACCGCAGATTTTGTTGCTCGGCGGAATAACAATGAACACAACCTGTATTCCTTTTTCTAATGTAGTTCTAGAAATCGGTTTTAAATACTGGATTTTGCGGACTCTGTATAATGAAAATGTTTTTATTCTTTTTTCTTTTTAACATTACATCAAAGAAATTGAACTTCGTTACCGTTTTGAAAAAAAACTTTTGTTTCTGTTTTGAAAGGATGTCTCAATTTTTCTCACGCACTTGGTAATTGTTTCAGTGGGGGGGGGGAAGGGATAGCATCCATCTCTTCAAATGAGTGACATGTTCAGCAAAGGTCCAAGGCGAAAAGATCCAAGGTGAAAAGGTCCAAGGTGAAAAGGTCCAAGGTGAAAAGATCCAAGGTAAAAAGATCCAAGGTGAATAGGTCCAAGGTGTAAAGGTCCAAGGTGAAAAGGTCCAAGGTGAATAGGTCCAAGGTGAAAAGGTCCAAGGTGAAAAGGTCCAAGGTGAAAAGGTCCANCGGGTAAATATTTGTTTTAAGAACATCAAATTTCCGCGGGGCAACTATCAGCCGATAGTTCCTCGACAGAAACACTCTATTGTTTAAATAGATAGTGAGCAGTGTAGCCAATCAGAGAACGACAGTCGTGATAGATCGCTGGTAGATTTATACTAAAACTTGATAGAAATTTCTATTTCTTAATTAACGCAGGGTTTCAGGTTTCAATGCACTTCCACTGCTCTTATTTCTACATAGATGCAGATATAAATAGCCATAAATTTAAGCCAATGAAAAATTCCTGTACGTATGGAGTGGACGAGATCTCATCTGACCTCCTGATGTCAGGGAAGTTGAGGAAATGCACGAACTGGTTCCAAAATCCTGACTGTACATAACTGTCCATTCTTGTGCCCAGCCTCAATACTAAACGAATCTTAAATCATATCCTTTCAATCGTTACTACATAAAGCATACACACGTAAACTGGCGGGCTGAACTTAAGTTAAGTTGTGTAAGTTATGCAGGTAAGTTAGCTCATATTGGGCGTGTTTTTTAAAGTGACTGGCCAAGCCAGTTTGATATGATGTGCCTGATCATAAATTTTACCCGTGACAGAAACCAAAACGGAATGAATACAGAAGTGTCTCGTTGAGAAGACTTTTCCTCTGTGCGTTGATATTACTTGAACAATTTTTTCGAACAGGAATAACGATTAAGCCAAGTGATATTTGCCCAGAATTCCCGAATTGAACGCGACAGACCGCCGATTGCCAAAATATGCCAAGTCACGTTTACGTCCTGCACAAACTAAAACTCCTTTGAGCTGAATTTTCAGGTACAATTTTTGGAAAACAAACTTCAGTGACTAACTACCCACCATTTTGCTGGAGTTGAAGTCCGAGAGAAATGCAAAGCAACTTGGAACAAAACGTGCCACGCTACACGAAAACTGCACTAGCCGAGTGAAACGATATGTGGGAACTGGAGACGAACTTGTGGAGTCCTGGGTATTGTAGCGTGACTTGTCACGGTCGAGTCACATGAAAGTCACGCACAACAGAAAGCATGGTTTCTCACTTCCCGGACTTCCCACAGGTGATTGTTTGACCGCTCAAATTTACTAATGCACTGCATGTGGTTTGGACCCTTATACTCTTAAGCCTGGCTGTCAGAGCGGTGCGCGTTGAACCCGCTCGAGTGTGTGTGTGCGCGGTATCACGGCTTCGCCCGGTGCTCACAGATCACGCAAGAAGCTGCATGTATTCTTTAGAAAGGCAAACAGTTTCAAGTTTCGAATACAGATGCTTTTGATGAAAACTCAGAAATGGTTGTGGCGTAAATGTTACAATAATTTATCCCAAATTTAGTCAAGATGGCCTCGAAGAGTGGCGCAATCAAGGAAAGCAACTTTATAAAAGAAGGTAGGAAGAAGGCCTGACCGAAAATTCTTCAAGCACCAGACCTCTCTCTCTTTTCAAGACATTCCACCCTTCCCCCGATGTTAGACATACCCATATTCATTTTAATGCAAAACACACACGCTGCACAAAGTGTGGCATGAGCCAGAATAGATACTTCTTCGCACACGGAATTAAGGTCACAAATACACTTTTTCTTTTTTATAACAATATATTTTATAAGAATATCGAGGCTCAAATTTGCGAAATTTTAAGAATATTTTAAGAATAAACCCGAGGCTGAAATTTTGAAAAGAATATAGTTTTGTGTGTTAAAAATTTGTAAATACAAAACAGTTATACGTTTTTAACTAAACCGTATAAAATTCTTCATTTCTCTAAACGGCAAAAGTAGCCAAAACGCAACAAAAACAGCATTAGCCGTATTTTCGATGCTGATAATTCATGTGCAAGAAGTTATGTATGTGATATCAGGCTTTCATGCTTGCAGGCTGGCTCCAACATTACCTTAACACCATCCAGACACCAAATACATTCGAAAACAGAAATGTCATACGCTATAATCTAAGAATATTAACAAGAATAATTGCAGCCTAAAATCCGCAGAAAAATAAGAAGCCGGAAAAACAATATTCTTATAAAAAAGAGTGTACAACCAATAAGTCGGTTTTGATAATAATGTTACTGGCACCAGTACAAAATATAAAGCGTTTACTACTTAGTTTTTGTTTCGATTGAGAGGATATATCAAACACTCGAGACAGTGTTTCGTCTGCAATCTAAACACCTCGAATTTCGTCAAAAAATACTCCGCTGCGCGTCTTATTTTCAACTCTCTTCTCGGTGTTTGGATATCCTGATGAAACAGTGTATCTCTTGTTTGATATATTACGTCAGCAAGTTCACTAGGTTTCGATTAAATACCAAATTAACCTGTATTAAAAATGGGGACACGCCCATAACACGATCAACAGACACTGTAACTCAGTGTCAAATATCAACATTTATATAAACTCTGTCTCTTTATCCAAGAAATCACAAAGCAAACATTTCTTGTATCTGCTTTAAAGTGTTTTTAACTCATTTTTACCTTAAATGATTTGTCTTGAACATGTGCATCTCAGACGTTTCTCAAATAAACTCTGCTATCTTCAGTTTATCTTTTACTCTGCTTTTTACTCTATTTACAGGTTGGTTTACCTTAACAAAAAATAGTCAAACTAGCTATTTGCTTTTAAGAAATTTGCTGCATAAAGTCAATTTTTTATCATCTATGATCAGAGCTCATTTCAAATTGCGTCTTACCAAGAGAAGATGAGGGGTCATAGAGTGAATCCCCCATACAGTCCTCCTTTTCAAGTTTTCCCTCCCAAGTTATTTTTAGGTCACTATCGGTTTTGGAATTCCCAGGAGGGTCAAGAAATAACCAATCCTGTGACGAGGCGCGCGACTCGCCTGTGCGGCTTTACACGCACTTTCATCCTCCACAAAAAAAAATATCCGCGAAGAACTGGGTGTCATATCTAAAATAACTTGATGGAGAATACCTTGAGAATACTGTCTATATGAAGTGTTGTTTCAACGCTAAACACCACTTTCAAACTGCATTAATGAAATGTTCTGTGCATCCGCTACGTCAGCTATTTCCTTGTTCTTACGAACTTTTAATGACGGATGAAAAACACCGTAATAAAGCAACACCGATACAAGACCAAGCAGAAACGCACCCCACTCAGTTATTAGCATGATCATCTTGAACACTTTATCAAAATCACTGAGGAAATACCACAACAGAATCATAATGGAGTTCTCAATGAAAGTCACCAGGTAATATGGAATTCCCCAATTTCGTGTACGCTCGCCCTCCAAAGGGAAAAAACAAAACACGTTGATGCAAATAAAGGCACATCTAAGCAATATATCTCTCAATGATCCTTCTTCGAAGTAATTATCTGGCTGTCCGCGCAACAGAAAGTATGAAAACAACAAATGGATACCAACGACTACAAAAACAAAGTGCTGGAAATTAGAAGCAAACAGAACTAAAGCCAGTATCCTGGAAACAAGCATAAATAAGCGCCAAGAGAAATGGAAGACAGAGGCCAAGCTAAAAAACTCCAACAGCTGGCTTTGTTCATTTCCGAGGCGAAGGAATCTACAAAAACTTAATAAACTGAAAGCGAACAGAGCCAAAGACTTAATGATGTTTATTGCCACAAACAAGTCGGCGAATGACGTCCAATCCATGGTACCTTTCTGAAAAAGAACGTACAGCTGAAGAGCGACCTAGAACAAAAGAAAACAAAAAAACAACAACATATTTAAAAAACGCTAAGTTAGGAACTATAGTAACTAAAAGCAAAGTAATTTCCCTTCACGTTGCTCTAGATCTGTTTATAGACGATAACCACTGACCACTGTTGGTGCGTACCTGGGGCGCCTCTTCAGTAAACGCTTCCACGACACCCAATGTACTCGAGTCTTGCAGCTGAGAGATATACAGGCGATACAGCTCCGTATTACGTGGATCACGGCTTTGGATTTTTCGTATAAAACGCACGGTCCTAAAGATCTGGAAGCACCTACAAGATTAATATTATGCCGAGTAAATCTCGTGTCAGTCAACATCGCGCGTCACCATAATATTTAGATTTCAATCAATGTCCTTTATTAGGGTCATGATCAGAGCGCCCCTTTAATTTCGTTATTTGATTAAAACGCATTTTGTTATGTACCTTACCTTATAAGACGACCACAACAAATAAAATGGAACGCATAGAACCAGGGTTTAACTTCTAAGTCGTTTCTCCCGAGCCACTCTGTTTTTCCTTGGTCTTTTTGATCGTCAAGGAAAAATATGGCTGACAGGGCATCAGTTATAATCAATGAGAACACAATCACAGTCAGTGTGTAGGCAGCCCATTTATAATCTCCTCTGCTGTAATGTGTTGCTGCTATCTCACAATCCATACCAACATCGGCAACAAATAACAGAGCCGTGACAGATGGGAAAAGCAGAGAAAATCGACTGCACTTTGCTCTCTCATTCCAGAATCTAGCGACCTCATCTCCTTCTGTAATGTCTGGTCGATCATCAGCGATGTTTTTGATAAGACGCCGACATGGCCGACAGCAACTGGTGATTACATTGCAAAGGTTACACTTTTCATCTTCATGTTCACTTTCACTTTCATTTATTTTACCATCCTGATGATCAGGGACGTCTGCGACAGCCATTGTGTTAGCTGTGTATAGAACATGTATACAAATATGAGCCAGGAACACTGAACGTTATCGTTTCGAACAATGAACGTTATCGTTTCGCATGGACGATTTTGAGTTAATGAAAAGCGCACTATATTTAACAATTTATTCAGTGTTTATTCACCGAAGCGGAGGTGAATAATGGTGGATATTTACCGAGCCGCCAAGCGCCGATGTAAATATACACCACTTTCACCGACACTGAGGTAAATAATTGTTTTATTATATACCACACAAGCTGAATAATCAGCCGATTGAAAATATGCTTTATTTCTAACAATAGAGCAACAAATGTACATCAGAAAATAATGAAAATCTCGCCGCGAGATGCTCTTTCGCGCACACAAAGTCACATGATAAGTCAGGTGATCAAAAGAAGTAAAACGAAGTGAAACGAGAGATTTCCAACGTTCGTGGATCTAATGATCGTCTACATTTTACAAGTGGTGTTGAAACCATGCTGCAAAACAGTAAATGTTTCATTGTTTATACTACATAGTGCTCGACAGTTCATGTAAACAAGGCATTGTACCTTTTTAGGCTTTCAAATTTGAGTTTGGATATATTTGACAACTTACCATTAATCAGGGTTTAACCAAATTTTTGCCATCTAATTTTGTATTTTTCCGAACAGCTGCCTCGTTTATGGACAAAATTTGCTCCTCGTTAGCCGAAGCGAAACGGGATGCCATTTTGTTCTTCTCCGTTTGCTCAGTTATTCCTGCCTCCGAGCTAGCCAATCAGAATGCGCGGAAAGCACTATTCACTTGTATGGTACACATGGTGTATACTAAAAGTTATTAGTAGGATTCTACAAGTATACTACTTATGTAAATTCTGGAATTCGATTGGCTGTGCCATCGTACACTATCAGTCAATCATGTGCAATGCCCGCAGTGCCTGGAGGTCGTCCACACAATGGCGACGTTTTCTCGTTTCTCCGATGTTTCGGAGGCAAATTTCAATTTCCAGGAAGACTTTCATATATAATATTTCTTTAGATATTAAGGGAGTCGCCAAGAAAAAGTAAAGGCCTATAAATTTAACTGACAAGCACTCGACTTGCAGGCACACAAGTTACGTTACTTTGGCGGTCTGCGGCGGACGTATATTGTGTGACGCAAGGAGAACTGTAGAGCTTATAGCTGCTTGTATTTGTTCAAATTGAAGTCAAGACATTTGATCTCTTCTGGGATCTGTGACACGACAGGAAAGCTTCACATCGGAAGTCCTTTTACTTACTTGCTTTAATAGCGGCATATAACGGTTTGAATTCCAGTTATTAAGCAGCAAACAGTGCGTGACATTGGAACTGTGTGCAGCAATAAAGGAATTGATTTTGGAAATCTTAGAAACACTACCAACACTGGTGTGCAGCGGTAGCCTTATTTCACAATTTGAAATGACGTCGATCGAAGTTGCGTCGTCTGCGATGTGATTGTCTGAGTATGTGTTTTTCCGAACTGCTGTCTGCGTTAGCCTGCGTCGCAGACGGAAATTTCCCCGTAAAAAACCGTAACTAGCGTCTCCGAGGCAGTCGCCATGTTTGAATTTAAAAATTTCGAAAGTCTGCGGGCATACAGTCTGCGAATCAAAACAAATGTGGTTGTTCTTATCATCGGTTACATACCTTGCATTTATATGACCTTCGAAGCTTCACTGAGGCCTCGCGACGATTTCATTTCCATTCGCGAGGCAAGATTGAAATGCAAACGAGTCACGAAATATGTGAATAATAAGAGATATAAGACCGGAAGTGGGTTGTTCCGGTCTTGCTGTGAATTTGCGGAAGTCAACGCCTTGTCCTTCTTTTCAGTTTCGCATCAAAACGGGAAGTCATAATTTAGTTAAGAAATCTTTTCGGTTCCTAAATGAATGTCAAAAATGAGCAAAAAGGTTATCAGTTGTCATTATCTCAGTCACAGTCCAAAATATGCAATGTGTGTATGACATATGTTAGAATTCTTCCGCCAATAGCAGGCAAAACCCTTTTCCTTGAGATCCCTACCTAAGGATGCAAAAATAAAATCAAAACAAAGGTAAAGAAAGTATGTAGTGGGAAACCTCGGCTGACTTTTCAGTGCTTTTTTGTTTTCACTTTCAGAGCTGGGGAAAATTGTTAAAAGTTGTCGCGCAACCCTTTCCAGTTGCATATTAACATACTAGCATATCTTATTAACCACGCACGCACGAGGGCCGTACTGCGTTAAGTCGCCCTGAGGACCGAACGCAGCCAGGTCCGTACAAAAATGACCGGGGGAGGATATTTTCTCGGTACGGTCCGGAATAAGCTAGGTTCATAAGAGATTTATTAGACGAAAAAAAAAAACTTTAGGAAAAAAGCCACGATCACGGACTGGAAAAGCATCGCAAAGTTCGTGCGCTCAATTCTGATTGGAGCCGACTAGGCATATATATACTCACGTCTGACGTTACAATCAAACCAAGTGAAGCGTTCCCCTCAAGATTAAATAATGAATTGATTATTTGAATATTGAACCCGCTAGTCGTATCAAGACTGCAATAATGAATCGATTATTTGAATATTGAACTCGCTAGACATTTCAAAAATCAAAAATCAATATTAAATTGATTTTAACCCATTAGCCGCATTCTTGGAACGACTAGTGGGTTCAACAGTTTCCAATAATCAATTCATTATTGCATTCAGTCTCGAAACGACCAGCGGGTTCAATATTCAAATAATCAATGCAATTCATTAATGTAATCTTGAGGGGTACGCTTTACTTCTAGTTTGACTGTAAACAAAACAGAGAGAAAAGAGAATTGGAAAGAAAGAGAAAAGGAAATTGTGAAAGCAACTTCTTTCAGAAACGTAAACCATAAACCGAGGAAATCTTCCAAGTGATCCTGAGTCCGGATTTATTCGGGACAGTATCGGGTCCAATGCTTAGAGAACATTAGAACTGTAATGAACCAATCAGATTTGTTGATTTTCGCTATTGGCCACGTGAACTAACTTGGTCGTTCAATCAAGATAGTACAAAAATACAATTCCGTGAAATCACCGGAAAATAAAGCAACCTGGAGGCAGAAAAAAAAATACAATTGGAAGCTATTAACGTTTGGAACCATTTACATCACTGGCAACACAGCGCATGCCCTACACAACTTGGTTCTTTACTGTGTTCACGTTGTCGTTGCTGTTGTCTTAATTGTTTGCTTTTATTCTTTTGTTTCTTTTGTTTGTTTGTTGTTCTGTTTTTCTTTCGTGTTTTTGTTGTTCACTCCATTTGTTTGTAGGGGCTATTGTAATTTACCTTGGAATGCTTCACAATTCAAAACAGACAAGCCTGAAATTAAAATTGATTTCTCTATTGAACTTTATTGGCTTCCGCTAAGAATAGTTAACACTCTAAACAGACATTCACGGGTTCTCCTCAGTAAATCAAAGAACAGTTAGTCACGAGCTTGGAGTGTACCTTTCGAAATGTCGGGTTTACATTATCTTGGTTGACAAGAAAAATTGCTAACTTGCCGTGTTTAAGCTCAAAAACCTTAAATGATATTGTACGGTAACAAACGAAAGTCTTAACCGTGCTCTGTCCTATTGTAAAGCACGCACGAAAATGGCAAGAGCACGACGAATGTGTAGATAAAACTCAACGACTCGTGATTTCTCTACAGATTCATTTGGTGCTAACGTCACCACTGAGAGCTTCATAACAGAATTAAACCATCTTGAAGGCTTTTTCGTCTGTCTAACAAAAAAAAAACAGATATTGTGATTTAGACGCACCTATGTAAAGCATCTATAATATTCCTGGCATGGAATATAAATGTATAATACAGAAACAGTGAATGAGCATGAAGCTATTTTCTTAGTTTTATGACATCAACATCAACAAGTATGTCCAGAAATATTTCTACAGCTCTACAGCACACCTTTGTGAAGCCGTAAACTGCACTCGTTTGACAGTCTTCAGGGCAAATACTTTCAGCTGGATTTATGTTAGAAAGTAATTATTTGTTTATTTGATTCTATCTGGTTTTTTGTTTTTGTTTTTTGCTTTCAGTTCTTTTTTTTTTGCATTCGCTACTTTTGCCTTCAATTCATTTTTCTCTTTACGTTCACGTTTAGATTTACGTTTTCGTTTTTGCTTTTGCTTTGACTTTTGTTGTCTTTTTTTTGCGGATTCGCTTTTGCTTTTGGTTTTGTTGTCATTTCGTCTTGTTGTACCACTCAAGATGAAAACCCAACCGATGATGGCCACGCGCGTTTTCCGTTGCTTGAACCTGGCGTCATGAGCGTTGATAGGCTCAACACGTTAAGTATACATTAACTTTTGGTTCTGTTGTCATTTCGTTTTGCTGCGCCAATCAAGATGAAAACCCAACCGAGGATGGCCACGCGCGTTTTCCCGCGCTTTAACCTGGCGTCATGGGGTTGATTGGCTCAACACGTTAATTTTAAATTTCTGAACGTTTGTTATAATTGGACATCACCACAATCAATGCCCAGTTCCCTTTATGAGACACGCATAAGGGATTCATGGTAACTGAATTCAGCAAAACAAGTTCAAGACGAAAAGGTTAAGTACAGCTGCCATGATTCCCCGCAGGCCCGTCTTTTAGAGGAAACTGGGCATTGCAGCGGTAATATTTCGTCATAATTATACGTTAGTTGCATTGCAAGAGCTAATCGTAGTCACGGCTATTGTTGTCACGCTGGTAGCTGCCGTACCGTTTCTATTGCTATTTAGTTCCCAGCGTGCTCTCTTGTAAAGAGATTTCACTCTTGTATGACGGCCTAAATCTACGTCATCTGGTCTCGTCTCATCTGTGTTTAGAGATGGATGAAAACGGCGGTAAAACAGAGCCAAGGAGATTATCCCGATTGCAAATGTTGCCCATTCTGTTGTTAGCATTGCTATCCTAAACTTCAGACCGTAACTGGTAAGAAAGTTCCAAAGCAGAACCATAACACTATTTTCAATGAGAGTCAGAATGTAAAAAGGATATCCCCATTTACGAGTGTTTTTGCCCTCCAGTGGGAAAAAGCAGAATATATGGACATATGCAATGGCGAATCTGAAGACTTTCTGCTTGATTGGCTCGCCTTCAAAATACTCGCATTCCTGTCTCCACAGCAAGACATAGGAGGCAGCTAAGTGAATTCCAACAATTACGAAAACAAAACGAGTGAAATGTGAAGCAAACACAGCCAGCGCCAGTATCCTTGATGTGAGCATGAACAGTCGCCATATGAAATACAACAGGGAACCAACACTGCACCAGTTTAGCTGGTGACTTTCTGTATCAGCCACCCGGATGTACCTTGCGTAAATGAGCAGGTTAAAGGCAAAAAGAGCCAGCGACTTTGGAATGCTGAGAGCTACAATCAGATCTTCAAACGAGGTCAAGTCCAAAGTACCGCGCTGTAATAGAATATAGAGTTGTAAGGCGACCTGTTGGAAAGGAAATAACTTATGGTTAGCTCAATAAGCATATGTAGTACAGACATTTTAAGTATTTTGAGCATAGCTAATGATAAAAGTAGATTGAAATTGCTTACCATTATTCCCACCTTATAACAACCGAATGGTCAATTCCCTCTATGAAACGCGCCAGCAGGAATCATGGTAGCTGTTTTCATGAAAACAAACATCCTGTCCAAGATGATGAATACAACTACTATGATTTCCTGCACGCGCATTTCGTAGAGCGTCCGGTTTAAACCGTAGATACCTAAACCCCCACATCAAATTAAAGCTTATAGAGCTGGCTATCACACTATACCAAGAATTTTGAAACAAAATGAGTTGTCGAATTTGTCACGACCTTTAAACATTTCACTCGTCCATCGTTCTCGTCAATGGGTGAATAGTTAACGAGGCGTAGCCAGAAGACTATTGCTAATATTTAACTCTGGCCAGAGGCACGGGTTAACCACTGACAGGATTTTTTTTGTGATATTAGTGGGAACCACTTACTTGTGGAGCTTCCTCCATAAATGCCTCTAAGACACCAAGAGTACTGGAGTCTTGAAGTTGAGCTATGTACAAGCGATAGCGGTCTTTATCATCTGGCGACGGTTGTTTGATTCTTCGTATCAGACGTACGGTTCTGAAAATCTGACAGTATCTAGAACAGAAAAGGAAAAAGAAACCCATATTTTGTCAGACATTCAGTTATTCACGGCAAGTCATTCAACTATAATTGTATATTGTAATTGGCTAGATCTCGAGCTAAATAATACCCAAATGTTGCAGGATAATTTTAAAAGTGTATATTTATAAACCTTTCCCAGAGAACTCCCCTAAATCTCGTCTCAAATAAGGACCAGTTATGTGGGCCTTCACCTTTGCCAAACTCTGGCTAGGCTCCACTAGCTATGCCCCATAGTATGGTAGCATTATGATTTTTGACTCCAACCCAACAACGCTAATATTTTTATTATAATTATTATTATTTCGACATGTTTTAGGCTCGACATAGAGGCATTTTGGAGGGTGGAGGGAGGCACATAGAGTTGATTTAACTCATTACGCAATCTTTCCCCATGTTGCGTGACGGACGTTAAAAGGCTATGCATGCAACAAGCTACGTAAGCTGTTCTGTCTGTCATGTGACGATGGAACATTATCCCATGCAGAGTTTCGTTTTACAAAAACACCTTAAGGCACTGTTTTCAGAATATAACTTCTCGTAAAACACGATTGAGTGTTGGCCATACACTGTAAACACTCATCCATGATAAGACCTTACCTTAAAAGACTTCCACAAAGAAAGAAATGGCAAATATAATGCCAGTATTTGATCTCCAGCCCATTCTTCTTCAAGATTTCCCGCTTATAACTCCTTTGGTCCTCAAGGTACCAGTTTGCAGACAATATTTCGATTGAAACAAGAGAAACAAACGCAAATCCGAGTGTCAATACACTCCAGGTGTAATCCCCACGTTGATAGTGAACCACCGCCACCCTTAAATCCATCGCAGAATCCAGTAACAACACTAAAGCGGTTAAAAATGGAAACAGGAGGTCGAAGCGAGAACATTTCCCTCGTTCGTACCAAATCCTTGTTTCAGGGTCTTTAGGAGGTATATCTGGACGTGTATCTGTAATCCACTCCGACAACCGACTGCAACAAGGGACGCAGAAGAAGTATCGGCACGGGCATTGAAAGTCACGCGGTGAAGGCTCTGTCCCATTCATCCTGATTGTTGTGGTGTACCGAACGCCATCACTGAAGAGCAGTTGAAATAACAAAAGATCGACTTGCCCGCAAACTAGCAAAAATATTTTGCAGTATTCGCTAAATCGGGCTCACCAAAATTTATAGGATCCGCCCGGCACTCAACTTTCCTTATTTTCTTTTTTTGAAAAAAAAAAGATTTCTCAATACAGAAATATTTATGGTTCGTGCATGTACAGCCTGTACAAACTCATCAGATTGTTGCGTGTGTGACAAAAAAAGTCACCAATAAAATGCATGGACTATGGACCAAGACTATGTTGAAACCCTGTCCCTACTGTCAATCAATCTGACAGCTTCACAGTTCTTACTTTCTAGCCGATCACGAGTCCGTGATGGGATTTATTTCAGAAATGAAGCATGCTTTACCATGTTTAAAGGCATTAAAGATGTCACTCAGCCGGGGTTTAATGTTTAAGTGAATCAAACTGTTCCTTCGAAGTTTGATAAACCAAAAACTGAAGAGATTTCATGCGATGTTGTAACCCTTTTTTAATGGTATGATTGCAATGCAGCACATCTTTTGAATGATTTGACTTGTACGGATCTCTTAAATTATTAAAGGAGCTCAGTCACGGTATTTTGAGTTATTTTGGCCACATACAAAATTACCCTTAAATGATAGTAAACCTGAAAATAACAGTTTAATAAGATAGAAAAACACCAAAGAGATAATGATAAACCATAAGGAACAAGGATGGCTAAGGATGGAGAAGATTGACACGGATTACAAACGACGAATTTGAAAAATTGAGGCTAAACTTTTCAATATGCGAAACCTTGACTGAGCTCCTTTAAGGTAAGACAAACTAAACCATCACGAAGTCTAAAAAGAGAAGGTAGAAATTGAAAACAGTAACAGGAAGTACTAGCTGAAAAGTTGTCTAAAAATGTTGCGATAAGTCATTAGGAGGGAACAAGTGACGTCATCAGGTGGAACACATCCGGTTTTTACAGGAAGCCGATAAGCGTGACGGTCACGCCAGTATATTATAACATGTGTTTCGCATTTCGGAGCACTTGTAGATTTCAACTTCTGTAAGCTGCACGGAGTCAACGGAAGGCGAAGAGAAGGAAAGAGATAAGAAGAGTAAACTAATAATGTCAGAAACAGCGATGGAATACAGCGACAAATCCGGTAGAATCGAAACTGCATCAAAAGGTAAGACAATCCACGAAGGTGTTGCTTAGTTCATTATATAAATATTTCTATGGAATTACAACAGTCAATAGTATAGCCATGAATACAACAGAGTACTAAAAAAATGCGATTCACTTACAAGAACAATATTTACTGATGTCTGTTGGTTTAATTAATATCCATTCGTCCTTTGCGATTAAATTCATTTGCTTGCAGAGGTCTTGCTAGTTTAGATCGTATATCAAACGCCCTCTCGCTCTTCCCAAAAGGAAGACCTGACTCGAGAACACCATGGAAATTTAGCCTAGACAAGCTATAAAGCTTTCCTCTTCTTTGCTGTATTGCCAGCAGCGAAAAATAAGCTTATAGAGTAAGGTTTGGCCTGTGACTTGATACTTGGAAACTTTTAAACACAACTGAAGACTGATCCCGGCTTAAGTCTGGTGGAGGTGTTACAATCGACAGGGAGAAAAGCGATTTCTTAAAGGGCTTATAAAACTTCACGTGCAGGTTGGTAAGCAAGAGCCGTTTAGTACGTAGGTCAGATAGCCTGCATAGCAGTCTTTTCCGTTTCCTCTTAGCGGGAGAAAGCGAGAGCCAAGGGGAAGTCGCGCGAACGCATGGCGCGAGAGCAAGAAGTTAGGAAAGGGGGGAAGAGGGTGGGGGGTGCCCCTCCCCCTTGCCACTTATTTTTTGTTACCTCTGTCCCCGTGCCCTCGCGCGACTCCCGCTTGCCTGAAAGGAAACGGAAAAGACTGCTACGCTCATTTGATGAACTTATCAAACATTGTTAGAGACCTGCGAATGAGTGAGCAGATGTGAGTGGAGTGTAGGTAATACGCCCAGGGGGGGGGGGCACTGCCATATATGGGCTATATAGGTATGTGCTGCTGTGAAGGGTATGGTTTTCAAGCAGTTTACTCTAGGATAGGGTATATAA